TTTCACTAAATGGCTGTTCTAATGAAAGAACTGGGCTTTGAGCCACCACTTAATTGCCAGAATCTATCCGTTCGCGAATTTGGTTTGTCTTCTTGCTCATTTATTAACAATATCAAAGTATATATTATTTATTTAATATCAATAGATTATTCTCGATTAGATAAACTATGTAYGAAGCTATGCATGTAAGACATTTATTACATACTTTTCTGGACGAAAACGAGTAAATTAATGCTCGATTTCATCACTATTGACCACGAACAAAAAATGTAATAAAMAATAGAGTGCATTTAATAATTGCATTATTAATTAAATGAATTTAACCGATGATGAGACAAGAAAACCTATCCTGAACTAATAATAATACATACAATACAATRTACAATKTTCATGAGTATCTCCTAAAAAGGAATTACTCATGTGCTCGTCAACAATTTATTTAAATAATTACAACCAGTAACTCGTGCCGATTTGGACCTTTCATCCTCGGCATGATTGAGCACTGGAGGGACTTTAAATAAAAACTCATGGTTTAAGAAGTTCTGCGATGGCTCCAAAACACTCCTACTTCGCAGCAAGTATTGCAGTCTGACGATGGAAAACGATACTTGATTTTCCAYTGAAGAAGATCCATCGAAGATCCACCAAAAATCCATCGAAAAATTCATCCAACATCTTTGAAAGGAAGAGAATCCATGGTTATATCTGTAAAATAAAATAGAACAAAACGATAAGTTATCTGGAATATTATTCAAAACCGTATAAAATAAAATCGAATAAAATGTAAATAAAAATGAATACTTACAATGCATTCCAATGAGATGCAGCTCTATTGCACCATGGTGATGCACCTCGCGTGAATCTAATATCCCGTTATAAACGAAAATAAGAAACTATAGATGAGCTTCTTATCGCGAAACCGAAATTTTCTTATACGACGAACAACACTGACTCTACAATTCGCGTTTGATTTTAACTTATTACTCGCCCGATCACTGATTCTACTACTTAAAAATTTTACTTTTAATTACACGAACAAACACTGACTCTATAAATTAATTCAAAGACTGCATTGCACGCAGTCAAATGCAAGAACAAAAATTTCACTCCCGGACACTTCACATGGGCCATTTGATCTAAGACACTGACCCGTAGTAATGCAATTGCTTCGCGCACGATTGCAATCTGAAACATAAATAAAAAACAATACTATTAATATCATTACTATTACAGAAAACTATTAAAATTTATGAGGAATTATTTTAATACAAAAATATACTCACTTTGATGAATGCACGATGAATGCACGATGGGTCTCCTACCCTTAGGATGACGATGACAATGCACAAACACTGACTCTACAACTGCATTACATGCAGTTAATTCAATTAACACTAGATATTATTATATACAACTGGACTAAACTAATTTGATTCATTTTAAACTTTTTTGCTATATATTTATTTAAAATAGAAATATTATTTATTTTTTAAATATATGTTAATTTTTAATGCTGTTATGAAATATACGTAAATATTAATTCCTCTACTCTACCTACTTTTTCATTCAAACAATGTTTATAAATTTTTTAAAAATATTGAACAAAACAATAGTGAACAAATCTAGTGTTAAACGAATTTCTAAATGAATTTAATTAATAAAATGTGAATACCATTCCAACGATGATCTGAAACACAAATAAAAACAAAATTATGTAAAACGTTGTTATATAAAAATTACTATAATTATTGAGAAAATGTTTAATATAAAAATGGACTTACGTTTATTCTTCATTGATGAATGCAGGATGGGTATCCTACCCTTAGGATGACGATGAACACATGTTTAAACCGAATAAAAGAAACTTGCGAGTTTCTTAACCGAACAAACGAAACTTTAACATGCGACGATCAACACTGAATCTACTCTTTTGTCGACTTTTTTATATTTTATTTTAACGCGATACAACACACGAGTATTTCATTGCCTACACGCACGATTGCAATGATCTGAAACAGAAGAAGAAAAAGAACAATTAATGTCATCGTCTTAATAAAAAAAACCATTGAAATTATCATAGAAATGTATGATAGGAAAATATACTTACTTTTAGTCTTCGTTGATGAATGCAGGATGGGTATCCTACCCTTAGGATGACGATGTATAAAATAAAATGAAATAAAAAGTCTGTAAAGCTGAAACATACTAAAGATTATATTACAATATTTCCTGTAAATCATTTCTGAAGGCAGGGCACACATTAAAACCATTGAATATTTTATCAAAAAAATAAAATTGATCAAAGTATGCGACTATTAGTTTGTTAAATTACATATCAAGTATGTAAGGTTAGTAAAAATATTCATTAAAAATCTTTAAAGTTGTTTAAATAAAATAATTATAAAATCAAACTGAATAAAGAATAACCTAACAATTAAACCGTTTTCTATAACATTCTATGTAATATAAAACTATTGAAAGTATTAAAAGTAACGAGATAAGGTTAGAAAAATAAAATTATAAAATTATTTATTCCGTAATTATATGTGCTAGTTGTGATCTCGTCGAAGAACGGGAGGGGAATGAGATACGTTGCTGTTCGACCTTGATAGGTGTCGAACGAACGCTCGGCTGTTTTCGTTGTATTATTGTCTCGATAATCTACAAATATACATACACATTGATAACTACCTGTAGGTGAATGTTATGTATCGTTATTGTCCTTTCGTACATTTATTCTTACTTTACACATCACGTACACTACACTCATACTCTTTCAATTACGCAGCTCACTATTTGAAAAGAAAATAGATAGATTTACCTTACGAATAAAATAAAACATTTCACATATTATAAAATTAGATATATGCGTTCGTACTGGACACTTCCAATGCTGGACAATCTAAAAAAAAGTCAAAGATAATTGCATTAATATGTCATAAAGAAAATCAAATTATGAGGTTATGATATAAATTACCTGTGTATGCAATCACTCATTATCTATGAAGATATAATAATGCAAAATAATTCATTAGAGATGATTAGTAGTATCGATAGCGTGAAAATAATCTACAAAAGTAAAAAGTACGGTTAACTAGCCATATCGATTGGACGTGACGCGAACCGTCGACAGACGCCGATTTTATTTTCACAGATATCTTTCAAACTTTTTAATTTCACGTTTTGAAAACACTCACGTATAAAAATCATTACTGTATCTATCGTTTAATATATAATTTAGAAGGTTGCACTTTATAAAAAGTATCTTTTACTCACTTGAAATTGACAAGACGCCACAGCTCCCGAACGATCTTCTGCTCCGTCCTTCTTTATAACTACGCTAGTCAAACTGCATATGGTAATTGATTTTTTTAAACAGAAATCATATTGAATTTTTTAATTAGTATACTACTATTTGACTAACGTGGTCAAAGTATTTGAATAGGATATAATTTGAATTATAAACTGCTTTTTAAAGCATATATAAATCTCTAGGAGCATAAAAATGATAAAATATTCGTAATTTCTTTTTATTATTCATCAGAAAAATGCATTTGTTCTAATAAAAATGATGTCTTTGCAATATGATGATATTTATTGTTTCATTTTTATTTTTTATCAAGAAAATGATGAATAAAAATGATGTCTTTACAATACGATGATTTTTATTAGTTTCTTTTTATTTTTTATTTAGAAAAATACTTTATTACTAGACTCGTTTCTATTAGAAACATTAATGTTCATCTCATCATTATTAAAATTGAAATATTTTATTTTTACATAGAAACCTACACAATCCTTTCTGTTCTTTTCCATTCGAGATCGTTCGATTCGATATCTGTACAAATGCACCTTGGACTTTTAACCTTGGATGTGATCAGGTAAAAATGTCCAACTACAAGACGGCGGATGCTTTCATGAGAAGAGAAACGTTCTCGAAAATTCGATGAACAAATGCGATAATTGCCATCAGGAGTTTCGTTCAGAACGAAATAAATTTATCCAAGACACGTGATTTCATTTCAAATTCACTCTTACAACCATCAAATTAGTTTAATCACAAGATTTCTCTCTCTCTCTCTCTCTCTTTCTATCTTATTGCATCGATTGAATTTGTTTTTATTTAATTTTTATCACACAATGGCGTCATTATTTTTTATCATATTCTCCACGTGCTGCTTATGCTAATCCCTCATGGAAAACAGCATCGTATTTCATGCAATAAACAAAACGTAATTTATATTATTTACCACATTTTTTACTTGGAATCTTGAAATTCAATTTAATTTCATAAAATTCAAAGAAAAAAAAAACACACACACACATTTCAGAACACGCATTTGCGCATTTATTCTCTTTCCTATGTTCTCTTTTGAATTTTTTTTAATAAAACTTTCAATATGTAAACGTCGTAATGATATTAAATAAAATAAAATATACATTTGATCGATGACACGGTCGGGATTTATTTCCTATGACCTTTTTTAATCTTACCGATTATTTTTTTCGGAACTTTATCGCTAATAACTTTTTTTCAGTGGAATTATAAAATTAAATAAAAATAAAAATTAAAATAAAAATTAAAATTAAAGAAAATACGCAGAAATACTTCATCAATGACACGACCGCATTTATTTTCTATGACCTTTTTTTTAATCTTCGAATAATTCATTTTTTTCGACCAGATTTACACAATTTTTTTCTAACTGTTAACAATATTTGTTAAATATAAAAATATTTGCCCTGTGTTTCATTAAAATACTTTAAACAATATTGGCGGATGTATACTCGAGATTTACTACTTTACAGCGCAGGAATATTCGATGAATTTCACCGACCCTAAATAGAATTCCATAGGAATAACTGTAACTATGATAAATTGATAAATTCCCTTATAAAAAAGAAATAAAATTATATTCAATAAATAATTACGAAAAGATATTGTATTATATGTTTCAGCAATCAAAATTACATCCGCAATGTAAATCGCAATATTTAAAATGTTATAACGTCATGAAAATATTATCTTATTTTGATAAAGTTTTTTTCTTCTTTTTGGAGACAAGTTTTATTTTTACGTCTTATTAAAATATATCTATATATATATTTGATATAAATTTTAATTCAATGATTATAAATAGAATCAAATATAATTTAAAATATGAAATGTATCAATCAATTAATTGACAAATATTCTATGAATGTAAATAAGAAATAAAAATGTTATAAAAAGTTAGAAACAAATGAAAATTGAGATTAATAAAAGTAGATTTTTTGAAAGTACAGTTTCACCTACAATTTGTAATTATTAAATAACAATTTGCAATTATGCAATTAGAATTATTTAAACCTATGAATAACAATGTGATCCATAACTTCGTTAATAAATATTCATACATGAGTAAAAAATACAAAAGACACGCTTTAAAAATGATTTGTCTTGACAGTAAACACCGGAACAATTTGCAGATAGGATATTTTGTATAAATTCGTGCATTTTATTCATTAAGTAACAGACATAGAGACCTCGTACGCGGCCTTTGGTTTTATCTTTCATTCTCGTTCGCAATCTCATTTCAAGAAATACGACTCAGCATTACGATGTTTTTACGCGATTAGAGTCTATATTGTATTATGTACACAACACACAATTCGCCATACCACTTAGGTAATTAAATTACGATGTATTATTTTTCCTCGTTATCTAAACTGACTCAATTTTCACTTGTAATTCAAACTTTTATATTTAAAATCAAAGTTCATCGAGGATTCATTATTCATTGGAACGTTATTCATTCAAATTCCATTTAAATTTGATTTTATTTCTTTCAATAATTAATAATCACATATAAATGTAAATTTTAATTCAATGAAACGTATTTTTATATTATAAAAAAATGTTACAATTTACTAATGCGTATTAATGTATGAATTAATCCAAAAAAAGAAGTATAATGATCAAGTGAGAAGTAAAATGTGATAATCGTTGAACGTAACTGATTTCACATAGCAAATTCTACTTCCTCCCTACCACTCAATCATTTAAATGACATTGAAAAGACCTCTCTATCATCTTTACAAAAAAAAAGAAGAAAATTCAAATAAAATATAAGTAATATCACAAAATGGAATTTGTATAGTAACAAAAAAAAAATATATATAGGAATTGATATAAGTGAGTCACTTGGGGAACGTGTTTTAATAATAAAAATAGAACGATTGGTATCAAGTGTATGAGAAGAGTGGAATCGTGTTCCGCTGAATCGTTTAAAAGAAGGTGAAAGTCCGTGCTCGTAGAAGGGGCTCGTGAATTGTCGAGGTTGATAAAAAAAAAAAAAAAAGAAAAAAAGGGACAAAGAAAGAGACTCCTTTGGTGTACTCGATATGAATGGCGACCGAAGTCTCTGAGGAGATAAAAAAAAAACCACTCGATAAACGTTTCCTTTCTTTTTCTACTTCTTCTACTTCTTCCCACGTTTTTTCTCTCTCTCTCTCTCTCTTAATTATGTAAAAAAAAAAAGAGTATTTTAAAATTGATTTGTGTAATGTAATATAATAAATTTACATCAACGAATATAAATCAAATAATAATTTATAACATTTTTGTTTAAGTCACATTTAATCGTTCAAGAATTCATTGAATCATCCCATATATTATTTCATTAAGAATAACATAATGAAATATAATAATATTTATCATGAATTCAACACTATTCAACATAATTATATAAAATATTAAAAAATTCTCGTATAAATTATCCATTCTCACGGAAATTTTCTGCGCAAAAAGCCAACCTCTTCCTTTCTCCCCCACTCAACCCTCCTTTCGAATCAATCGCTATCGTATAAAATCACCTTTCATTTATACACGTATAGATAAATATTTAGCGAATTAAGTATAGTAGTAGTAATAGTAGTAATAGCAGTAGTAGTAGTAATAGTAATCGTTTGTCTCTCCAAGAGACGTAGAAATCGCGTGACGCACACGTTGGAATCTTACAAGGAGACCTCGAGAGCGGCCAGCGACACCGACGATTAGCAAGAAGCTCGTCATCCTGGAACGTCGACAAGGATAAGAGAGGAATCAGAAGAATAAGAATAAGAAAAAGAAAAAGAATAAGAAGAAGAAGAAGAAGCAAAAGTGAAGACACATATATATATACTCGTGTTTGTATTCTTGCGCGTGAACACGCGAACATACTGTCTCTACATTCATCTGACTTTTGTTGTATATGTGTGTAGTACACGGAAAGAGAGGAAGATCATTAACCCTTTGAAGCCTTTCGCTGAGTATTCTCTTAACAGAGGACACCTGCGTCGTTTCCGATAAGGCCCAACGTAAGAGTACCACTACTATTTCATTCTATCTCTTTCTTATTCTTATCTTTCACGAATCATCCAACCGCTCCCTTTATTTCCCTTTCCCTTCCTTCCATCATTCTTCTTATTCTTGTCATTGCACATCCTATCACGTTGTTAGTTTCATTTTCATCAAAGCGGAAGTGATCTTATGATCTTCTTTATCTCACTTTAAATATCAACTTCTTCTTCTTCTACTTGTTTTTTTTTTTTAACCATCTTCAGTTTCGTTATCGTATTGAAATTCTAATGAGATAGGAGAAGAAAAAATAAGAATCAAATAAAATAAGAAACTACGAATCATGGCTGGGCAATGAACTTTCTGATATATACCACTAACAGGTACACGTTCCATAGAATGTGTCCGAACACAGTTTGACAGGCGTTTGAACTTGCTTTCTAGAAGTTGTTTATGCCTGGACCAAGGTTAAATATGATGTAACTGAGACGCACAATTTTTATTAACCATGACTTCTTTCCTACAACGTATAAACATTGATTTAAAATACTAACAAAATAACACATGTAAAATAACAATGATTTAATAATAAATTAGAAGAAAATAATCATGCATGTGCAACGTAAAGAAAGTTAAATGTATTGTTTGGTGGTCCTTTCGCAATAAAAGGAGATTCGTCGATAGATTTAGCTCGTAGCCAGCTCGTAAGCTATAATTGTATGTATTTGGGTATTTGGGCAGTCTCCGTTTGGTAACCTTGGGCCCATTTCCATACGCACCACCCGCGATCAACGTCCTCTTCTGTTGTATCACCTGGGTCCAAACCTGATGACGAGTGTTCTAAATTTGTTCAACGAGTCATCTTACGTAATCCTGTAAACCACTTCTTTTTCTTCTTCTTCTACTCTCAGTAATGTGATTTATGGAACACCCAGTGGATATATCTCTGCTGCAAAATGAGTAATTAATTAGCATGAAAAATTAATCATGTGTACTTCTCGGAAGACTCGTGCAAAATAAACGTTAATCTTCGAACGTATTATAATAAATGAATAATTGTCGGATAACATGGACTGGGTAGGGGATTTAATCCATGATTTGAAGTTGGTATAAAAAAAAAAGGTCAAAGTTATTTGAAATAGTAGATATGTTTCCTTGAGTAAAGGTGTGTTCTTTCATAGAATTGAACCACGTAACTTAACCACCCTTTGGACGCATCAATGTTAGATATATAAACACTATAATCGCAGGAAATGGTTCGAAGACGTTAACTAACAACGTGCTAAGAATAATTAGCTTAAGCTTTTCATTTCCAAGTATTCATACTATGAATGCTTAATTATAAATCGTAAAGATTCCTAACAGGACATTCACACATTAAAAAAAAAAAAAGAAATACAAATTGAATAAATGTTATGATAAAAGAATGAAACAGAGAAAGATTATTCTCAAGAAAATCATGATGATTATTATATTTATCGAGAACACACGAACGTTTACTAACTGAAAGTAGCTTGGTCGTCAAGTTTTTCCACATTTCTGACAGTTGGTTTTTTACACATTTTACATTTAAATAGAAATAAACGTACATGTGTTAAACAATTTGAGGAATAAGTTATTAATTTATTTCCACTGGTCGTAAAAACCTAGTTATTTGTTAAAAAGAAAATCGTATCAGCACATGCCAAGTTTTTGCAATATTTTAACTTAGTCCATTTTCAAAATGACTAGAGGACATTAAATCAAAAGATTTATGTTGTTTCGATAAAAAAGAAACTTTTCCAAGCATCCCTCGTAAAAGTTTCAAAAGTATTGGTCATCCGAGTCCACATTTGATCAAATCTTTCCGACAACTCTTACAAAGAAGGGAAAAAAAGCAACACACACACACACAAACACATAAACGACGAAGAAAGAGAGAGGAAAAGTCGTCCCCCGTCGTTGTCTTCGTCATCATCATCGTCGTCGTCGTCGTCGTTGTCGTCGTCGTCGTTGTCGTCGTCGTCGTTTTCATCGTCGTCGTTGTTGTCTTCGTCGTGTAAGAATCTGTGTTTCGGTGTTTCGAAGCCAAGGTCTCGTTGCGGATACCACCGAATATCGCTGCACACAACCGATGCCATATTAATGCAGGTCAGGTTTTGCGAGTTCGTCGCAATCTCTCGAGGTCGCCCTGCCCGCGCCTCAGATATTTTCGTGTAAACAAAAAACGCGAGATGATGCCAACGAGTCGAGAAAAACTTCGAGAGAAATCGATACACATTTCGGCAAAAACTCGGAAAATTTCCCATCGTTACTTTGTCAATACAACATTATTGTTTGGATTATTGTTTCTTTTCAAATTAAAGAACGCCAAAATGTCAAATTAAAAATTTTAACGAGCCTACAACAGAAACAACATAATTAATCAGTTCAGACGAAACTCATAATGGTAAGGTAAAGAATTTTATTTAATTAACCTTAGATTTGGATAGTGAATGAGTTAATTGTAATTGATTTTAATCAGTCCTGTCAACCATGTTCGGGATGCCCAATGAGACCATGTCCACCTGAAAGATCCTGTCCACCAAGATTTAAATGTCCACCAAGTTCTCCCCGTAACATTTGCATTGTACCACCAATCCCACAAAAACCAAGTTGGAAACCTTGTTGTATACGCGTTTATGGTATTCCATGCAATACACACCGTCGTCCACAAAGATTTATAAGATTCAATGATTTCGATTGCACATCTCAATGGTAAATATATATCTGTAATCAGAAGAAAAACAAAAGGATTTCATAGCCAATCAATAATTTCAACCAACCCTTAGTAAGGTAAGAGAAGTAAATGATAAACCTTTGAAAGCCGGTTTCATTTCATTATCGTTCAAAACTTACAGATTCTTCTTGACCATTATACTAATCTCAATAGATCTAAAGTACAAAATGAAGGTCAGTTTGGAAAGCATTCTGATTGCCATGGATATCATTTTACGTATATTTATTTTATACAGTGGACGTGGTTTTCTGTTTTTCTTAAGATTCGATTAAATATCATTAAACTTAATAAAGTACCATCATAATTTTGTGATTTTTATTCTAAATCGATTAAAATTCCTGATCCAAATCCAACCATAACTCTGAGTACAGATGTACCTAAAGAAAACACAATTGTAAAAGATTCGTACAAAATAAAAAATCAAAATTCTATGGGATGTATATAAAAATGAAACGTAATAACTGTAAAGTTTGAGAGAGAAAAACATTTAATATTTAAGATAAACTATTTAAGATCGGATTGTGTTATATTGTGCATCTGTCTGGTTGTAAGATGCATTTGAATCTCTTGTTACCACCTTCGAGCATAGTTTTCGATTACGACTAGACGCTGAGACGTGTCATTTCAACAAAAAAAAAATGAAAGAAAAAGAATAGTAGTCGAGAATGTTGAAAAATATGTAAAATAAAGTGTAATCGTTAGCTGGTGCTACAAAAGAGCTTGCGTAGAGATGCGTGACCGTGCGTAAGCACAGTTCTTATTCTCCAAGTGAGAACAAGAGTAGAGAATAATAAGAAAGAAAGAGAAAGAAACGGAAATGACTGATGATATAGTTGGTGGTTCGTTGTCTACAAATGATGGTGGTGTGGTCCTGTGGATCGTATTTAATCGAAAGACGAAACGTCCTTTCCTCTTTTCTCGCATTCGAGTAAACGAACGAACTGAACAAAAATGAATGAACTCACGCATGCACGTGTGGCACGTAATGCTACCAACTTTTGTTCAACAATTCTTTACTCGTTTCAGAATCTTTAAACACTTATGCTCATTAAAATCTTTAACTAATAATTTTACACTTTAAATTCAACCATACTGATCTGTTTCTTTTAAATTAAAGAAGAAGATTATTGGTTGCAAGTTGTTATTATCTAAAACTGAAGATTGAAACTAGCATCAATTGAGATATCAAAATGACCAATAGATGTTTATATTTTTCTTTTTTATATTGCACTTTGAAAACCATTGTAAATAACCCTTTTAAAGGTTTGGTATTTGAAAGAATTCTAGAAAGGATACCGAAAGAGGATCACACAAGATGGATCGGTATTTCCTCCGAACGTGCCAGACCACTTTCCCTTTCCTTTGCAACGTCATGTATCTTATTCGAACGAACGGTTTCAATATAAAATCAACGAGCCCTACCTAGTGAATTTAATTTTATAATTGCATACAAAAATATTTAAATTATTGTCACAGAATGTTATTACAATAATTATTTTTTAACAATTTGTACAACATTTTAAACAAGATCAAAAGTATTTTACTATTTAAATATAACTTTTTAGGTGTATCTACTTTGATATTGCAAAAAAATAACTTCATGTATTAATTTACAATATAAAAATGTACGAAAATATCAGTGTGATCCTTTTTTTAAAGTTTTGCACAAGTTCAACGACCTTTGTAGACGAAATGACTATGATAGCAAATACGAAAGAGGGGAGAAAAGGGAATAAAAGATAAAAGAAAGGGAGACGTCGATGAGTAGTCCAAGGCCAGACACTGGCACTTTACTGGTTATGGCAGACCCTTCTCGAAATCCTCAGGGCCGATGTCTGCACCCTCGTTAATCAAAACCATTTTGCGAACCTTTCCTTGCGAGAACCTCTCTCAGCCCTATCTGTGAAACAATGACGTTCGCATGACCTTTCTGTGTTCTTTCTTTCAAGCTGTAAAATATATATGTGCATATATATATTTATTTTATTTTTAGAAAGTATAAAACAAGTCAAATATCTTTGAAAAGGGATTCACTTTGTGAATTGTTTTTTTACTGAATACAAAATTATTGGACAGTATTATGGTTTTAGAAAATATATGAGACAATTTGCAATTTATTTAATACGATGAATTGAAATATTCAACTGAATGATATTAAAGGAGACCCATTTTTTTATTTTTACATTCGTTCAGCTATTGTTTCAACTCGTGTGACACAAAAAGGTTTGTTTCAAAGTAATTACGAGCTTTCCAAGCATTCGTCCTCGAATCATGCATTTTTATTTTTATATCTTTTTTTGTCATTGCAAAATCCTTTTAAACCTTTCTCCTTTGAAAAATGGGATCAAGATTTTATTTTTATTTTTATTTTTAAATAAAACAATACAGATTGCATATATGTGTGAATGAATTCGTCCTTATTTTTTTTTTGTTTTTTCATGTATTCTCTACAACTTTCATTTTAAATTTCAAATACTTTTGTAATTTTTGATTAAAAGTTAAAGTGTCGAAAAAATAATTGGTAAGATCGTTTTGTTCGATAACCTGTTTCCTAAGACTCTTGAGTATTTAAACAGATTCAATTTCAATGTTTCTTCTTTGTCGATGAACTTCGACACGTTCGATGCTACTATGTATGTTAAACTGCACCTGCAACTTTTCTCGAGGGATTTATGCACCAGGTGTTTCTAAAGTCATGAATCAAATCGAATAAAGTGATAACAGAAGTTACTTTCAAAAAAAAACAAAACTGTTGAACAAGATGAACAGTTCAATAACAATTATATTTTTGTGTTAATCATATTAATTATTTATCTAAATGAACCGTAACTGATAATAGTAATCGAAAAAATAATTATTATAAAACCGATAATATAATACCAGCTGTAAAAACCTAAAACACAAAACAGAACCCAAATACTGCAATAAATAATTTTGCAGTCCCTATTTTTTTTTTGCTGAAACAAAAGATAAAATTACAATGATTTTAAATGATCGAATTAAAAGAAAGTACATAGAAAAATTTGGAAATTATTATTATTATTATTTAAGCCCTTTTTTGGCAATAGAATATTAAAAAACAAAAACTTTGTATAGCATGGCAAACAACTGACCTCTAATAAAAATCTAAACTTCACGTGTCCAAACGTGAGATTCACTTTCACGCCCGGGAGGCCGTTTCGAGATTAACGATGCTTTCGTTTTAGGATCCTTAGAAAGGGATCCTGACAAATCGGTTATCGTCTACGCCCTTGCACACGTTCAAAATACATTTTCAAAGGCTGTCGGTGAGAGAAGATCTCATCTGAGAGAAGATCTTCTTGAAGATTATAATGCTGATGCTACTTTCGCTTGATAGTTTGCTGTTCTCCTATGAAAAATATGAAACCAAGATTGATTAGCATAATTACACATTTCGTTTATTAAAACAATATATTTTAATACGTATAAATATTGTATTATGTATGAGTATTTATATATATATAAATGTGTCACGTTGTTTGTAATATTTTTTCTGTAAACAAATATAATGATAATTAATAAAAACGTATAAGAAAATTATAATTTTCCATTAGGATCGAAATATCTTTTGTAATAAAGCGTGGAATTTTTGGATATTTTGTGTATATGTTTTTTTCTTTTGCCAGTAAAAATGTGATTACGATGATTCCAGAAAGAAGAAGAACAAATTAAATGAAAGTTTGATAGAATGAGAAGGATATTTTTTTTTTGGAAGAATTTGAACTTCTTTCTCTCTCTCTCTCTCTTCGTATCTTTTCTTTTTTTCATGCACGAGGAAACCGAAAAAGTGTAAACAAATAATCAAACATGTTTAATCATTCATTACACACATTCATAGAAATCATTTCTACTTGTTACCTTCGTTAAATAAACAAAACGAAGATCAATGATAAAAGGAGAATACGACGTAAATCTTTCCAAATATTATTTCTTACGTATGTTATTTTACAAAAAAAAAAATCAAAACAATAATAAACGAAATAATAGGAAGAGAGAAGAAAAATACTCAAAGAAAAAAAGACAAAAAGACATACATTTATAAGAATCTGTTTCTCGTTACGTATGCAAGGCAAAAGGTCGGTTTAAAGACGGGTTGTTGTTTGCAAGAGAAGCAGGTCGATATCGTCGTAATGACCTTGACCGATTGCAGGAAAAACACGTGCCTTCTAACACGTCAAAGGCTTCCTCTTCTTCTTCTTCTTCTTCTTCATCATCTTCTTCTTTTACTGTTTATAATTATAATTATTTGTAATTCTTGTTATAAATACACCCACATAAATGAAGTGTTTTAAAATTCACATTAATACTTCGATGTAATGAATTGTGTGCGTATAAATTAAAATACTTTGACAAATTATTTATTTAATACTAATCGTAATTTTCAATAAACGGAAGTATATTACGTATGATAATTTTAAAAATTGAATTTTGAAATAATATTAAAGTATACTGTACAATTCTCGTGTGTATTCGTCATCCTATATCGCACAGATAACAAACCCAACACTTCTCGAGAAACAAATTGCGATAAACAGCGAATTGTTGATCAAGTTTTTTTTTCTTTTTTTTTTTTTTAACGTGAAATAAACAAGCCAACAAAAAAAAGAAACAACATTAATCTAGACGACCATATATTACGAGGAAACAAATATAAGAACAAAATAAAAGTAAATAGGATGTTTGTTTTGTAAAAATGTGTAAACCAATTCAAAACGAACAAAAATTTAATCCTTGTCTCGTAAAATTATAAAATACATTTTGTGTTCTAATAATCAACGAGATAATTCATTGAAAATGATTTCTGTATTTTGTGTGATATTTTTTCTCATAAATTTCAAAGTTATGCATATCACATTTGTATGAAAAAAAAAAAAAAAGATAAAAAGAAATAGGTGCATTTGAGTAGTTAAATGCATTCTCGTGTACACGCTTTTCCTCCTTTTTTCGATAACAAAATGTGAATACGAGGAAGAGAGATAAAGAGAGAGAGAATAGAAAGAGGGTTGATAAGAGAATGGGGATGATGAAGTTACAAAGATTAATACCAGCAGAGTATTCCAGGAAAGAGTGAGAAAGCAAACGCAGTGAAAAGGCCCGCAGTGAAGGCGTCAGGATTCCTGGCGCCTATTTATTGAACGACCCTACCACATAGCTTAAATCGTTGCTCCTCTTTTCATTTGCCCAGATATCCTAGGATACATTGAATTAACATTTATGCAAAATACTTCATTAAAAAATAAAAAATAAATAAATAAATAAATAAAGAAAGAAAGAAAGAAAAATTCAATTATTATTAGAAGTAATAAGATTTCTTTTAGTTTAGTTTTACAAATTGAACAAAAAATAATATACACATGATTTAATAATTTTATTTATATGCAATATTCTTAGTAGAATATTATTTAAATATAAATAAACAAACAAAAGAAGTAGATTTTTATGTTAAATTGGCATGTGTGTAAACGTTAAGAACGTTAGCTTTAATATTATCGATTGATACAACGTGAAAACAGCTTAAACACGTAAGCTAGCAACGTGACTTATTTTTATTTGTAGAAACCTATACGAATAATGCTTCTTCGAAATGGTTTAAACTAGAAATAAAGAAAAAGATAAAATCAGAAAATGATCGGAACGATGATCATAAAAAAATCGAAATCGGTTGGTGTGTTATTGAGTTATTCGTCCATTTGTCGTGCACATATTAAGACTTATATGGTTTTCTCATGGATGCCATTGTCAGAACTGGACCAAATTGAAATGGAACCATATGGGAGGCACCAGATTTTCAAATAAAAAAAGAATCATCAAAATCGGTTAACCCATAAAAAAAATACAGTCAAATTGAGAACCTCCTTCTTTTTTGAAGTCGGTTAAAAATGCACAATTGACGAGCATATTTCCTTGAACGAGTTACTTGACCTCGATTTCGATTAGTATAATTAACATTTCTTTTCTTCTTCTTCCTCTTCTAATCCTTTTTCAATATTCCAAGAAATAAAAATTTCTCTAAAAGCTCGTTCGTTTGAATTTCGCGTTCATGGTTGAATCCTTGAATTTCACCGATTGGAAGGAAACACATTGAATAGCACACGTGCAGAAAATGACGTGTAGAAATCGATCGGCTACGAGAAAGCGGATCAAAGGATGCACTTTGACATTTAAAATGCGTTTTAAAAGATTCTCCTCAATACTGTGCGTTGAATTTCCTGATAGAAACTACACGCGTGTGTATTCCAAGGTTAACCTACAGATAGATGTGGTTTTTTTTTTTTTTTTAAATCTTACGCGTATTTCTCGTAGGAGAGAAAACATATTTAAAAATAAAATACCAAAGCACACATCAAACCCACACATACATACACATGTACAAGCAAGCGTCATTTATTATTCTTTCTTTTTACAAATAAAAAAAAACAAAATTAATATCCGCATTGTCACACGTCATTGCAGATTTACGTCATGACTGATATTTATGCAAAGTATTAATAAAGCTCAAAATGTTTGTTTAATTATAATATGTAAAATTAATATTAGTTCTATTTCCTAGTAATCTTAATATATAGTCAAAGTCAATCTATTAAAAAAAAAAAAAACCAAGAAGAACCAGAGTGTTTGTATTTGTGTTAAAGCTAACTAAACCAATTGGTGTCATCGCGATAACCCAACTGACATACTCTAGCACAATTTGTTATAATTTTGGCGTCGATAATAACCGGCAATTTGAAGATAAACCGACTAGGACAACGACTATCATAACCGAATCGTTTTACGATCAATAAAAATAGTATTTAATAGTTCACAGATTTCAAATGTTGATTGCTAATCTGTTAATTGGACCACGAAACGTGATAATCTATCATATATATATATATAGTTTTTTTCTATTGAACTATTTTCTAGATAGTAAAAAAAACATGGAAAAATTGGATCAAACGTTTTATAAGAAAGGTTCTTTTCATTTTCTATATTTCTTTCAACCCTATCGTAAATGACATTATTCTTGGCACGAGTATCGTTTCGTATAAATATTCTCTTCCCATTTCTGTATAAATCGATAGGTTGTTCATACGTAATCTTACTAGAAAATATAATAAAAGAGAAAAAAAGAGAACTTGGGTTATTTTGAAGTAACAAGATTATCATTTAAGTTGAAAGTAAACATAAACACATTTAACAAACTAAATAAAAACGTTTAAATGATTGGAATTGATCGTTAAACGAGATACAAATAAAAAGAAGAATATTACGAGAGAGTTTTAAATGAAAATGACGAGACTATGATAGGAAGGGTCGGAAAAGGGATAGTAGTAAGTCTTGGTGATATGAAATTATGAAGAAATTCCCGTAATTCTGTTGGGAATCATCAAGTAGAGGAAGGAAGAAAGGAAGGAAGGAAGGAAGGAAGGAAAGAAGGAAAGAAAAAGGTGTTAACAAGTAAACGGGCTCGTAATAATTGGCTTTAGTGGCTTTGAGAGACCAACTTGATGAAGAGAGAAGGAGAGAGAGAGAGAAAACAGGTGTTTGCCCGTTAACGCCGGTTTTCTTCAGTCTTCTTGCGCCACTGGTACCACCACACAACCACCACCACTATAATGTATTCAAGGCCAGCTAAGGCTTATTCATAAATCAGATCTCACTTTCATTCATGTGCTTGCTCGACGCGACACACTCTGACGAACTCGACACAACACATCATCAAACCTATCTCTTTCTCTTTTTATTTTACGTTTTTCTTTTTTTCACATTTTCCATAACCATTAGATCGAACAAATGTTTAATAAAATATCTAACATAATTAATTGAATTTATGTAACATCATAGGTGCCATTAATAATATTCAAGAACCAAGTGTGTTTTAAGACACACCTTTTTGTCAGACACACTTATCTAACGTTCTTACGACTAAATATAACTTCCTGTTACTTCTCGTAAGACTTCTTTTCCCTTGTGTTCCCCAATGTGTTAATAACGGTTTGATCCTACCATCTATGGTGATCCATCGAATTCATAGCTACCGGTTAGCTTTCATATTTCAACATTGTTCTTCCGGTCAATCTATAATCCCATTTACCAACTCTAACACATTTCTAACAGGAATAAACAAATGATCGATCAATTTCTATCATTTTTACATTAATGCACTTTGCCATCATTTGCGAATAATTATTTATGGGATTAGGTATTGATAAAGAAACCAGCAACTGTCTATCATCTGTGTAAAATAAAAATAAACAAAAAAATGATGTTGCTGAAGGATTGAATTTCATTCTCATCATTTCGTTTATTCGACGTTGCACCTACGATCGATTACGTAATCCCTTAAAGTTAGTACTCGTGGGACCGGACTCACTTTCAGCGTGTCAAGGACATCGACGGACAGGTCCTCACGGCCTAATTCCTCTGTACGATGAGCTCTCGCCGTTAAAATCGTATTAAACATCGACTATAAGAATCTTTTGATCATTCTCATTATATCTCTTTTATACTTAGATTCTTTTTCTCCTAATGAGAAATCTTGTGTGAAACTTGCTCTAAACACGTGTATACGTCCTACATATGTGTGACACACACGAAAAGTGATATTATATTTAAACAACTATGGCTTTCAACATTTCCTCATCTTACTTTCTAGAATTGAAGGTCCTAAAAAAAGAAAAAAGATAAAAAATCATTTTACATTGCAATCGATAAAAATGGTCTTGCGGAATTAGAAACATTTGAAAGTTCAAATTTGGAGAAATGCGAGAAGGTACGTTTCACATTTTTTCCAATATCCAACATCTCTCTCTCTCTCTCTCTCTCTCTCTCTCTTAGATCGTAAATAATAAAACGTGATTTATAGCTGTAGTATAATGTAATGTAATATTTACCTACTCACATGGAATACATAAAAGTATTTTTTATATATGTAAATAAAAAAGTGAAGCACTCATATCATGTCGAGGGATGCAAATTTCAGTCATAGGTTGATTCCAAAATTCTGAGTGTAACATGTCAAGGTTTGTAATAGAATTATACCATGTTATTAAGCCTGAAATCAAAATTACACATATGAAATACATAAAAGTATTAATGTATATGTGTGTGAACCTTAAAATTCTAGCCGTGAGACTTAAACTTTTAAAACTAGGAAATATTGACTTCCCCATTTTTCTCTTGAACTGCATCGTTACTTCAAATTGACCTATTTTATTTTACATTTAGTTGTGCATCACGTAACACCTACATGGGTTCTACTTCAACTATTTATCAGTAGTTTATTTTTATACTTTTTATATTTCAATTGTTATTGGTTTAT